ATCTCGACTTCGGTCCAAACATCTTGCAGATTGGAAGGCTTTAAATTTGACAATTCCCAGTTAGGGACTAGAAAAATTATACTCTGCTTGCCTTAAACCTCGGGCCATTAGGAGAAGGTTCACTCAAAGTTGAAGTGGGGGGAGTAATAAAAAGCAGAGGGAAGGAGCTAGAGTGATGACTTTGGGAAGAAAGTGCTTGCCTTGCACGAGGCCAGCCTCTTTTAGATTCCTGGCACCAGATGTGGCCCCTGAACTCCACCAGGAGTGATATCTGAGTGCAGAACCAGGAGTAACCACTGTTGGCTGTGATCCAATACCCCTTCCCCCAAACGCAGAGGGAAATATGTTATAAATGAGCAATGGAAAGGTTTTCAATCCACTTAGGGAACTCGAGTGCTCAAAAAGCAAAAATATCTATCAAGAATATGAATCTTTGTGCCTGTATGAGTAATACACATTCACAGTGAAACTTAACACAACTATTCCATCAGTCCTATCTGGAAAGAGAATAGATTTTCAGGAAGGGGGTCAGAGTAAATTTGGCCTTCTAGTCTTTACATTCTGACCTGTGTCTGTTGGCATTCTCAAGAATTCTTTTTGAGAGGTGGGGAGTTTCAGCCACACCCGTCTATGGTCAGGGCTTACTCCCGGCTCTGCTCTCAGGAGTCACTTCTGGAGATGCTCAGAGGACCATATATGGTGCTGGAGATCTTACCATTGCAGGCTGTGTGCCTAGTAAGAACCTTAAGTCCTGTACTATCTCTCCAGCTGTTGGAGATCTTACCATTGCAGGCTGTGTGCCTAGTAAGAACCTTAAGTCCTGTACTATCTCTCCAGCTGTCTCGAGAAGTCTTAAGTCAGCACAGTTGTATGCCTGGTAAAAGGTATGACTTTCAGTGGCCCAAGATATGACTCAGTGTTAGAGCATGCACTCCATAGGTGTGAAGCCCTAGGTCTTATCCCTAGCGAGTGGATGAAAGGATGGGGAGTGGGATCTAAGAGGAAGTTGTTCCTTTTGTTTTATGCAATTAATAAAGATAATCCTGGTTTTTTTTCATTTCTTCTGCAGCTTTAATTTAGAGTTTTAAAAATCTATAGGGATTGGGGGCTGGAGCAATAGCACAGCAGGTAGGGCGTTTGCCTTGCACGCAGCCGACCCAGGTTTGATTCCCAGCATCCCATATGGTTCCCTGAGCACCGCCAGGAGTAACTCCTGAGTGCAGAGCCAGAAATAACCCTTGTGCATTGCCAGGTGTGATCCAAAAAAGCACACACACACACTAAATAAATAAATAAATAAATAAACAAACAAACTATAGTGTCTAATGAGTGTTGACTACCGTATATAATTGTATGCCAGCCACAATGATTAAAAAAAAATCTACAGGGAAGTGGGGAAAAGGCATATAGAAGACTAACTTAACTACAGTCACCAGCAGAATATACTGCAACAGAGCTATTGTGCCCCACATATCCCCAAGGTACTTAACATTTGTACATGAGTATTATTTCTTAAAAATCCTCAGATTTCTCCAATAGTCTCACTAATGCTTTAATATCTTTTGTGTTTCAGACAAATTTTAAAAGTCTGGTTTAGAGCTTTATAAATTATCCCCCAAATCGGAATTTATCTGATTATTTCTTTATGATTAGATGCAGGGTAAATTTTTTGAGCACACAAGTTTTAACAGCAGAAACTTCTTACACACAGCATCTGATGCATCCTTACATGGTGACATACTAGGGTGCAATGATGTCAGACTTTCCAGGTGCCAGTGACATTCTGAACATGTCAGTGACAATCCGAACATTTGGTTAAGGTGGTTGCTTCAGTGTTTCCCATTATAAAGGTATCTTATGCCATTGTACTCGTATCACTTACTGCACCAGCATTAGCACTGCTTTTATTTCTGAGTTTTTTTTATTCCTTTCTATGTGACAGATGGAGTCACCACTATGAACTACAGGTCTTCTGATGCCAAAGCTCCTACTCTTTTTACTGCATAAACTACCTCTCTAATACCTTCTACCTCATCTTCTATCTCATCTGAAGCTGCTTGGAAAAGAAATTATTTTGATTTCATCTCTTGCTTGAAGCTCCATTTCCTTTTATCTTGGCAAAATTAGAACCCTTCTATAATATTGAAGTCTACTTTAAAAACAAGGCCCAAGTATTTGGCACAGACAGAGCCGGCTTTTTCCAGGGCTTACTTATGAAAGAATGTATCTGTAGTGGTTGAGAAAGTCCAAATGAATTTTTTTCACCTAGCAACACCAGCAGCCCTCCTTTGGGGAGATCCTAGTTCCATTTGCTTTTGTAGGAAGGGGATCCGAGAGTGTTGATTTTAAAATGTCTGTTGAGAAAGGAGGGTTTCATTTTTTAAAAAAAAAATGAGTGGTAAAGCTACAGGGGAGAGTTTGATGACCCTCTTACTAATCATTCCTGAGCCAAGATCAGGGGATCCCCTGAAACATAAAGAATTGGAAGGGGGGATGACCCACAAAGCTTCCTGCAAAGACCTTAACTCCACTACCTGCACCAGGACTTGCATATATTCCTTCCGTTGAAGTAATGGATTGTAGGGACAGCACCAGTGAGCACCACGAGCTGCCCTCTAAGGAATACAGAGGCATGGCTAATCTTCAAGGAAACCCAGGTCAAGATGGATTTGACATTACCAAAGCCTCCTTGCTTCAAAGAAACTAGAGTGGAAACACTGCTGTGGAAATGTACTTCTGGATACACACAGAGCTCACTCTGTACTTTTCCTCCTTACAGTCAGTGGCATCACTCCGATCACAAATATTAAGGTTTGCAAGTCCCGTGGTCAGGGTTAGCCACACTGTAACCCACCCTGCAAAATCATACCCCCTCCCCACTAAAACAAAAAGTATTTTCTTTGTTTGCCAACTTTGTACTGTTTAACGTGAGTATTTCAACAGTCTGTATTTTCCAAACATGCAAACAGGAGAGAGTGATCTGACCTGCAGTATATTTACATATCATGTAGCTCTAACCTTGAGATAAAAACTGAAGGAAAAAGTCAAAACAGTTCAAACCCAATACTAACACAAACACATCTCTCTGTAGTCCAGACCCTCTCCCTTCCCATGGTAGCAAGGGAGTACACTGGATGCATGCCAACAATGGTGGACCCTGTAGATTTACACGTGGGCAGACCCACAGGGCCCTCATGCATATTTGGTATTACTAATGTGTTCAGTAATCAGCTCAGCAAAAGTGTGTATTAAGTATCTCCTCGGGGTCTGATACAATTCTAGGTCTTGGGACATCCTACACATTTAGGGAATGTATTATATTTGCAAGATTTTTACTCATGTAGAGCTTAGCCACAGTGGTAGAAAGAAAACTCAGGGCTTACCCACACTATATTATGAAGAGAGGGGAAATAGCAGCTCTAATATAAAGCCTGCACAGGTTTTCTGGTTTCTGTGCATCTAGAAATGCAACTGCTTCAAAATTTGCATCACAATCTGGAATGATGATTATATACTTATTTTTCAGTTACTATTGATGTTGGAAAGATAGAAACAAAAAATGCAGCAACCAAAGAAAGAGAAACTCGTTTTTTTCCCCATACACAGGAGACCATGGGGGTGTTTATCAAACTGCCCAGAAAGAGTTCAGCCTGTTGTCGGTAAGATGATTGACATGTGAAATAAAGATCAAGTCTTTGTTCCATGCTGAAGGAACACAGCCATAGAAAGTCCCAACATAATAAGAAGTAACGAACTCCCTGAGCATTTATGCTGTGAAATTCCGTGTCAGCATTTCACATGTGTGGGCTCATTTAGTCCTCTCAATCACAAGTTGGAGAGGCAGACACTAATTTATTTCCCGTTTCATATATGAAGCAATACAGATATGAAAGTTCAGTAACTTGTCCCTAAGAAAAAAATCTGCCTAGATAGGGTAGAATCACAACACGATTTTAGTTTCATCTGACTCCAAAAGCTATGTCCTAAGCCACTCATTTCCTCCATTAAACTAGTTTTCATTTTAGTGAAAAGAATAATGAATTAGAGGGTAGCTTCGTAAAGTAAAGTGACCTTTGTTGTGAAGATACCATCTCAGAATAGGGAGCCAAGTCTTCTTGGTCACAAGCAAATGCATCCCATTCTCTCAAATGCATGAAAAACAAAGAGACGAACATTTGCAACTGCTTAACCATATAAAAGCCCAACATACAAAACTTGAAATACAATGTAAGGAAGATTGAAATCTTGCATTCAATTAAAAAACAACTTCTCCAAGTTGATTTCACAACTGCACGCATTTTCATCTCTGTACTTTACTTGATCTCTGGATAAATTATAGAATAACCAAGGTGAAGCTGATTTACTAACCACTACTCAGTGTTCCATATTACGTTTCTTGGAATGAGTTGATATCAAAGAAATTAAAAAATAATCGCAGTAGAATGAAATTTTGAAAGGTGTAGACGAGTCTTGTTTTCACTTTAAATCATTTAAATTTAATTTCAAAAAACGTTAGCAGAGGGCTGATTTTTGCTTTGTTTGGTGGTAAATTGTGCTGGGAATGTGGATTTATTGTGCACAAAGGATGTTGGCTTTCTGCTGAAACTAACAGACAGGTTGGGTTGAGAAACAATTAGCTCAGTCAGCAAGCCTTTGAATCTGATTAAGCCAGGAAGTGGTCACTCCCCACAACAGGGTAGAATGAAGGGAATGAAGGCGGTAACCAGAAATGGAAAGTGGTGCAGTGTGTGTGTGTGTGTGTGTGTGTGTGTGTGTGTGTGTAAGTGCTAATAGAATTTATTGTGCCAAATTTATACCAAGAACTGTTTAATTACATTTTACTATCTTGGGGGAAACGAATTGAATCTTGTTTCCAAGTAGAACAACAGTATATGCGTGTCATGGCTACTGTCTCCAAGAAACTTCTGTTTATTATGGCCTGTCAAAGCTTCATGTTTTGGTAACAAAACATTTTTGAGACTAAGAACCCAAGACAGCAAGGAAAATGCGGGGCCTGTACCAGGCTGCTGGCCGGATTCTCCTTACTCTGGGGACCCTCAGTGTGTTTTCAGGAGTGATTGCTTTCTTTCCTGCTTTTTCTTACAAACTTCGGTTCATAGGATGGAGTGTCTGGATCGCTTGTCCCATCTGGAATGGAGCATTGGTAGGAAAATATTTTATTACATATATTGAGAGAATAAAAGATGCAGGGAAAGGAAAGATAGAACATGTCCTTATTAAATTTTCTAATAATATGAACATGTCAAAATGCAACAGAAAAATCAGAATTTACCACAGAATATTGATTCCATTCTTGAATTTTCAATGTAGTAGTTTTCTTAATATTATTTTATCATGTAATCCTATATATCATGAAAGCTAGCTATAACAGTAGGTGTAAGTAATTCTTTTAAAATTATTTTAATTTTCCACCTTGATATTCTGAGAAACAGAATCTATTTTTCACAATTTGAACCTAGAAATGCATCGATCATAAAAAAATATCTGCACGTGGAAAACAAAGTGAAAGCTAAAATAATTTTCACAGACTAGTGATTTCCTTAGAAATTTCAAGATGTTTGTATGCTGACGTGTAAATGACCTAGGGAGTCTCAACTCCCAACTCTTAGGTTTTACACCTCTTTCTCCCCACACCACTGAAGCAATTCAAGAAGTCAGGTGATGGTCCTCCCTAATTTCACACTCTCTAGGAATGTAAGGCCACATGCAAATTGGCACAGAGAAGATGCTTATTGCTCATTTGCATTTCACCTGAGAACAAGACCCTAGGGGATGCAATTTTGACCTATTTGTTAAAGAAATATGTCTTGATAATTTATACACTCTTGAATTGTAGTGGAGAATAAAATAAAGTCTTTAATTTACTCTTTTTTAGGATCTTGACAGTTAGGAACTCTGTTGTTAAATAAGACAGGAAAGCAGGATGGTGGAACAAAAGAACTGATCAAAGAAATTGATGGTGTTAGTTTATTTAATTAACAAATTCCTTATATCTTTATATAAGTGGCTGTCAGGAAACTGTGAAATGAGTCGGAGACTTTTAAAAAGTGGACCCTGGGACTGGAGCAATTCTACCGTGGCTAGGGCATTTGCCTTGCACGCAGGCTGAACTGGGTTTGACCCCTGGTATTCATACTGTCCTCTAAGCTCTTCCAAGAGTAATTCCTGAGTACAGAGCCAGGAATAACCCCTAAGTATTGCCAGGTGTGGCCCACAAACAAACAAACAAACAAACAAACAAAAGTAGCCCTGAACAATGTTGTGATTCACCAGGAAATATGATAGGAAAAAAGCAATGTGGTTTCAAATTCAGATATGATTGAAAGATTGAGCTTAAGGATTTTTTCCTGCCTTCATGTGAGTACTAGCCTCATCCTTAGTCTTTGCAACCTAATCATGACTCAGTTATGTAAAGAATCATATAAAGATTTTTTCTCCCACTTCTGAACTAATCTTGATCCTTCGCCTCCTGGCGTGTTTTGTTTTTGGAGGGTCCTCCCAGGCTGTGCTACGGAAGCCTGGGACCAATTCTGGACAATTCTCTGCCAGCAGGTCCCTACCAATGGATACTGCTTGGGCCTGGCAGTGCTCCGGGGCCTCCTAAGCTACAACTGTCCATGCTTGGGAGACCAGACAGTGCCAGGAAATGAACAAGGGCTGGCAGCATGCAGGGCTCGACCACCTCAACCAACCGTCCTCTCTCTCTGGACACTTGACTTCTCAGTTCTTATGTTCAACACCTACCACAAACCAAAGAAACAGTGTTAAACATCTACTAGAACATAGACATTGTGGTTTCATGTATTCAAGCAATATACAAACATTTTGTTGTTGGCCCAGAGTAAGGGAAATATTTCACATCAGAACCATATATCATATGTAAATAACATTTAAATATTTCTCTTTAGGCAAAAACATACTGACATATAGTTATAACTGGATCTCTAGTACAGAAATTTCACAAAACAATATTTAATTTTCTGTATAAAATCAATTTTTTTTCTTTTTGGGTCACACCCGGCTATGCACAAGGGTTACTCCTGGCTCATGCACTCAGGAATTCCTCCTGGCGGTGCTCGGGGAACCATATGGGATGCTGGGAATCAAACCCCAGTTGGCCACTTGCAAGACAAATGCCCTACCCGCTGTGCTATCACTCCAGCCCCTATAAAATCAAATTTCACATTTTATATTCTGCTTAGCTTTTAAATATTCTAACTTCACAACTGAACTTAATGGTCATGATTATAGTCTGAGTCCCTTTTTTCTATGCTGGAAGAGACTACTACATGATCTATAAATATTGATTTCATTGGGATCACAAAATATTGCCTGTAGCTTGCTCTCATGAAAAATCAGGGTTTTTTTTTTTCCCCAATTAAGAACAGAGAAATTATATAACAAGCTTCTACTATGTAACTAGTTGGTGGGTGTTTAATTTGGAGAGTGAAAGCAATGGGAAGAAAGGACCAAGGTAGGATTGGAAGGTGGCCCTGTGGTGATGGCCTGATTTTATGTGCTCTGGGTGTGATCAGAAGCAAGGTCCTCCCTCAGCTGGTTCTCATACCTTGATGAGTAAAATGGGAATTTTTATAGGGAACCCAGAGTAATATATTTAACTCTCAAAAGCGGAGTGAGAATAAATGCAACATAGACAAAAAATGTTTAACTGAGCTTATTAATTTGAAAGTCCTAAAGAAGTGTTAGTTAACATTGTGCCTCTGACTGACGAACTCTTTGTTCCTGTCACCTGCCTCTCTCTTTCATTCCTTTTCGATGACCTGCAGAGCTTCCAATCCTTTTAAGCTTCATCTCCTATGATGATTCTGTAGCTCATTTTTCCCCCATCACTGACTCCCTGCTGTTTCCAAACCTGTCAAAGTATGTATCTGCCTCAGTGCCTTTTCACTGCTTGTTATTATCTACCTGAGGTCTCTTATCCCACATGGCTCACTTTCTACCCTTCAGTCTTTCTACATGTGTCACATACTTACTGGTGCCTTCCCCTATATGTCTATTTTTCATATTTAAATTTTCAAATCTCCCCACCAACTGATATTCTTAACACCCTGCTCTGTTTTCCCAGAGTCCTTATCAGCATCTAATGAACTATAGAATATATTTATTGCTTATTGCTCTTCCGAAATCAATGAATATATATTGTACAAAGGCAGAAGATTGTTTTCTAGTTTGTTTCTTGCCTAACCTTCAGCATTCACATACTAATGTTGAAAGAAATAATGATTCCTGTGTTCTTCATCTGGCGATGCAGAATTCTTTATATAATTGAGTCATGATTAGGTTGCAAAGACTAAGGGTCAGGCTAATATTCACACTGAGGCAGGGAAAAATCCTTATGCTCAATCTTTCAACAATATCTAAATTTGGAACCACATTGCTTTTTTTCTATCATATTTTCTGGTGAATCACAACATTGTTCAGGGGCTACTTTTTTGTTTGTTTGGGGGCCACACCTGGTGATGCTCAGGGGTTATTCCTGGCTCTGTACTCAGGAATTACTCTTGGAAGAGCTTGGAGGACAGTATGAATACCAGGGGCAAACCCAGTTAGGCCTGCGTGCAAGGCAAGTGCCCTAGTCACTGTACAATTGCTCCAGTCCCAGGGTCCACTTTTTAAAAGTCTCAGACTCATTCCACAGTTTCCTGACAGTCACTTACTTGCCTACAAAGTGTATCCTCCTCTGGTGGAAAGATAATTTGTACATTTCAATCACATTGACATTTCCTTTTTGCAAATGATTTTATAACCCTTTTGAGACCTGTAAGAGGGCTAGTTTAAAGGTAATACATTACTATGTGCTTGCCTTTCATTCAAGGCTTTCTAAATTTTTCATGAGTAATTGGTGTGCAGACTCCATTCTGACAGCCACATGCTAAGCAGTTTTACTGAACCAGGTTATTTAAAGGCTTCAGCTGCTAGAAAGTATGCGGCAAAAGATCATGGTATCTTAAGAACTGAGCAGTACCTTAATCCTGAAAACCTGGCTTGTAGCACAAAGTCTGATGACAAGAATGAAGAGAGGATTTAAGCAGGATTCAGTGCTTCAGTGCTACACCTGGATCCTGCTTGGAGACAGACTCTGCAGGGAAAGGCACGGCTAGACTTATCCATACAAGCCCCGTTTCCTTTTCCTTTAAGGATTTGGTCACATTTCCCAAGTCTTTATAGCTTGAACAGTTCTGTGATTTCCAGTCATCCAATGTCAATTAATCTTTTAAAAGATTACATTTCTTTATTTATTGTATTTGCTTTTGGGGTCACACCCAGCGATGCTCAGGGGCTACTCCTGGCTCTGTACTCAGGAATTACTCCTGGCGGTGCTTGGGGGACCACACGGGATGCTGGAGATCGAACCCAGGTCGGCCGCATGCAAGGCGAACGCCCTACCCACTGTGCCAACACTCCAGCCCTCTTTGTTTATTTTTGTTTGGGGGCCATATCCATCACTGCTCCAGCGTACTCCTGGATCATCACTCAGGAATTATTCCGGGCCATGCTCGGAGGACTATAGAGGGTGCTGAGGCCTTACCAGCTGTACTATTCTCCAACCACAAGGTTAAATTTCTCAAAGCCCTGCTTGTCAAAGAATTTAATCATCTTACCACCAAAAGCAATGAATTCTTTTTTTTAATTTTTTAAAATCTTTATTAGTGAAACACCATGAGGTACAGTTGTAGACTTACAAATTTTTGTGCTTAGGTTTCAGCTATACAATGATCCAGTACCCATCCCTCCACCAGTGCCCATTCTCCATCATTTACATATTTGTTTTTATTAGTGAAACACCATGAGGTACAGTTATAGACTTACAAATTCTTGTGCGTGGGTTTCAGTTATACAATGATCAAGTACCCATCCCTCCACCAGCGCCCATCCTCCACCACCACGGGTCCCAGCATCCCTCCCACCCCCCGCCCCCCCATCTCACCCTCCCTCTGTGGCAGGGCATTCCCTTTTGTTCTCTCTCTCTCCTTTTGGATCCTGTGGTTTGCAAGAGAGGCATTGAGTGGCAATCATGTTTGGTCTGTGATTAAACTGAATTTCCAATCCTGGAGTTACTTTCCATGCAATCCTTTCCTCTAGTGTTTCTCAGAATGGTGTGTGTATATGAATGCTACAAAGCGGACTCTGATTCAATAAAGCTATGAGGTCTGAGCCTTTGTATATCTGACAAGGGATGCTGAGGCAAGTGGTTCAAGAACTATGCTCTTCCCACAGCAGCACCGGCCTAAACCAGCCCATCCTCAGTCCCTCTTCACCCTACTAAGTCCTGACATTTGCCAAGTAACTTTGATCTTTCCTACAAGGAATTTCTCTGTGCATTTCTTATGTTCATTCCCACTGTGTGTCTCCCAATCACCACTTTTCACTCACAGGTTTTATGCTGAGATCAAGCTGGGAATCAAACTGTAAGACTGTATTTCTTAGTGAGTTATGAAGTTAAACCATTAGGCAACTAGCATTTACAAAACATGAGTAGAATTACATTAGAATAGAATAATATAGAGAATATTAGAACAAAAGACACATGAGGGTAAACATTATAACTTTAATTAGATGTAATTATTTATTATTGGCCACAACGCAAAAGTGCTTTTTTGACAGTGGATATAGGGACTTTTTCATTAAGTTTTGATTTTGTTCATTTGTTTATTTGTTTGTTTTTTATGTCTGAAGACCTGAGTTCTACAGAGACTCCCCAGATCTCACTCCACCCCAGTCCATCATGCATGAAATAGCTGGCTTATCCTTTTTGACTGCTACTCTGTCAGTCTGACTCCTTCAGAAACCTTGAGTGCTACAGCGTGGTCCAAATGAAGCCATATACACTAATCTAAACTTTGAGGCCATCCTCAATCCAGTCTTACAAGAGCAATTTCCTCCCTTTTTTCCCAGGAGTCAGCTCCCCTGCCTCTAGCCCAGACTCCTAACTCTCTGCCCCCCGGATCTGACACCCTCCTCCTGGTCTTTTCACAATAGCTCCAGCTCTCCCTCTATGGCCCTTCCACTCTGCCTTCTCCCACTGGAGACACATTCAAATTTCCTTTGAATCTTCTTTTCCCACATACCTTTGTGACTGATGGTACCTTGGAGGTGGCATCTGGCCACTTGAGCTCTTCTTACACAGAAGATGTTGCACAGCGGTTGCCAAATTTTATGGACACTCTCTCACGTGTACTACTTTTATACCCACACTGAAAATTCTGGTTAATGTACATATGGAGCTTAGTATAGGCTCTGTTTCTATCTCTGTGTTTCTGTCTTCTTCCATCTTCCCTTTCCTTTTCACTTTCTCTCTCTCTCCCTCCCTCTCCACACACACATATTATAATGTATGTTCCCAATAATTAATTATTATAATCCATAAACTATTTGTACAATCCCAAGCCTATCCCAAACCTTTTTTTCACAGGAGACTAGCCAAAGAAATTTGTAAGTGAATAAATTAGCCCATATTAACACAAGTTCTTGGAAATTTTCTATTTATGTTGTGACTACTCCCAGTTTCCTTCAATTCATCTACTTCTGGGAACTGGGTCCTCTACTTGGGTGATCTGAAAGATTTTATGGAAAGGTCCACAATGATCATGCAATTAGAGTGTTAGAAGCAACTATTGCAAAATCCAAGTGATGTGGTCAGAAGCAATCATAGAGTCAATGGCCTAGAGAAGACCTGAAAAAGGATTCACGGAACTGGGTATAGGCCTTCTACTCTCCACACAGTAACACTCCCAGCCCCATCACCACCCTTTATCACAGCTCAACTGCCTCGTTTTGCCCAACATTTTACCTCTTTAACACTCCTGCTCTAACATTTCTTTGTATGACTTTCCTTCCATAACCTCAAATATCTTCCTTTTTTAGTTCTTTCTCTCTCTATAAATAAAATTTTAAAAAGGAAAGAAAAGGAAAAAAGAAGATTGTGATTCTTGGGGGATATGCCTTGGGGATATCTCACTTTTCTCCCATTTACTCTATGAATGATCTTATTTATTTTATGGTTTTGGGCCATGCCCAGCAATGCTCAGGGATTATTCTCGTCTCTGTACTCAGGAATTGCTCCTGGTGGGGCTCGAGGGAATATATGGGATGTTGGGGATCAAACACCAGGTCAGCCGCATCCAAGGCAAGCACCCCACCCACTGTACTATCTCTCTGGCCCTATGGAAGATCTTTTTCCAAGACTTTATGTAAACAAAACAAAATCAAGCTAGCAGCTACAGCAGAAATAACTGGCAACTGTAATTCCACAGCATTTCTCAACTTTTGAAAGGAAAGAAGCAATGCGTGCCAAAATGATTAAGGCAACCTGAAATCTCAGCATTTGGTAGTATCAGCTATCTGCTTGAAGTAAAACCAGTAGAGAGCTCCCCTTGGCTTTTATAGCGTTGGCTTCAGTGTGTCTCACAGAGAAATGAGTGATATGCCACTAGAAGGCCTTGCCACTATTGCAGAGGCTGCCCCTGGACTTAGATGGATGGAAGGTCCCTCCTTCTCATTATTCTGCTCTATTGTGAGGATCCTGCTCACTCAGCCTGTCTAAAGTCCCCAGGAAACTTTCCTCTTGTAGGTTCATGCAGGCCTCTTCCAATTACAGATGATCAGATGGTTCTGCTTTGATCCATGAGAGTCTTGTGATATGGCACTCTCCAGTTTGTAATTTCACGAGAATTTTGTGTGTGTGTCTAAGTGTGTACATGTGTGAGTTTTCCCCTCTCTCAAATCCTTTAAATCCAACTTTAGTCAGAAAGAGAGGGATAGACATAAAAGGATTGCATTCATCTGGGGGACATAAAGTAACAAAATAGGAAATTAATACACAACAATAGCCGAGATCAGTACCAGGAGGATTACTCCATGGCTTAGAGGCCAGCCAGGCATTCTAGGGGAAAGGGCAGCTCAGATAGAGAAGGGAGCACCAAATAAAGGGTGTTTGGAGGATCCTCCCAGGAGGGGAGATGAATGTTGAAAGTAGACTATGGACTTAACATGATTGCCACTCAATGCCTCTTTTGCAGACCATAACACCCAAAAGGAGAGAGAGAACAAAAGGGAATGCCCTGCCACAGAGGCAGGGTGGGATGGGGGGTATGGGTGTGGGAGAGATACTGGGATCCATGGTGGTCGAAAATGGGCACTGGTAGAGGGATGGGTACTTGATCATTGTATAAACGAAACACAAGCACAAAAATTTGTAAATCTACAACTGTACCTCATGGTGTTTCACTAATGAAAAAAATAAAAATAAATCATTTTAGAAAACTGAGAAGTTGGGGCTCAAAACTATAAATACGATGAACCCAATGCTACAAACTCATTAGAATATAAAACAAACAGGGTTCCCCTGAACCCTTAAATTTGTGAATACTATACACACATACTCATTATGTTTATTTCTCTAACAAAAAAAATCTAGACTATTTTTAATGCTATCCTCATTCCATGTATTATTTCAGGACCTTCTCTTTTGGGTTTATCTCTCAACCTCAAAACTCAAATAAATAAATCATTTATGGGATGGGGAAAAGTGATTGTTAGGCTCAGTGATCACAAAGGTCTCCTTCATCAGACTGGTACCAAATCAAAGATAAGACCAGAATTTCCTTCTTCCTTTTTCATTTTCTATTGCTCAATTCTGTGACACCAGTCTTGCTTTTGTTTCATCATTTCCATTCTGCACTTAGGGCCCTTTATCAGAGACTATAAAGGATGCTCCTTAGAAACTTGGATACCAATGCCCCAGCACAATCAAAGCCCCATCACACATTCATTTGAATGATCATCGTGGTTTCTTGAGAAACAGGGAGCACGTGGTTGGATTCCACTAGTGAGCAAGGCCAGAGAATCCCAAAAAATAGCAAGAAGTAAAAGATAATGCTGCTGTTAGGAGGCCTTTCGGTTCACATTCTCCATTCTGGAACCTCCAATTTGCCATTTCAACAACAGGGAGGGGGAGAGGTTGGAGGGAGAGATACACTATAGGCAATTGATCCAAGTAACATAGATATCAAGGGTTAGAAAGTCAGGCATTTCTTGCCATACTTCAATACAGTTGTGATGTGATGGCAATGGTGACAGAAAATAAAACATTGGGCCAACAAGAATTATGCCTCTATGACACTGATGTCATCTTCTCTTGAGTTGAGGAGAGGTTCTGAATCATAAAATCCATGTAGGCATTTGTTTTTCCTTCAAGTTCTTGATAAAGTTGTCAAACTGTGAGGCAGTTTGAATTCTTCCCAAAGGTACACTCCTTCATGGATATTACTTTTCCATTTTCTTTTTACAGGCCATCACAACTGGTATACTGCTAATGTTGGCTCACAAAAAATGGACACAGAGACACCTGGTAAATATGCAGACTTTGTACCAGATGCTAGTGTGGATTTGAATGTCAACTCACCACTGATTCATCATGTTACATAGATAATGTGATTTCTGTTTACTAATGAACTCTGTGTTACACATTAAAAGAATGGGTGTCAATAATAAAATATTTTTAGATGGATGTTTAGGGACAGGCAGGCCACACCCATTCTGCACTTGGAAGTCACTTCCAGTGATGTTCAGGAGACGAGAAAGTGAAAGAGATAAAAATTGAATCAGCCACATGAAAGGCAATTGCATTAACTTTTTTTCCCAGCCATTAAATGAGTATTTTTCATCTCACTTTTGCAGCAAAATTGTCCTACAAGTTCTTAACTCCCATCTCATGTCCATGCAGTTAAAAATCTAAGTATCACTTTTTTTGTTTGTTTGTTGGGGTCACATCTGGCGATGCACAGGGGTTACTCCTGACTCATGCACTCGGAAATTACTCTTGGCGGTGCTTGGGGAATTATGGGATGCTGGGAATTGAACCCGGTCAGCAGCGTGCAAGGCAAATGCCCTACCCACTGTGCTGTCACTCCAGCCCCTAAGTAACACTTTTGATGCTGCAAAAACATAACTAATTTCCTGATACAGCATAATAAAATTTGCTTATATCAAGAATATTTGCTTACATTTGTCTTAACTGTGAAACACTCATGGTTTAATAAATATTGTGTGCAGAGGTTTTGATCACTTTTAACTTTAAAGCTTGAAGATATTTTATGCTAGCAAAGCCTAAAGTAGGAGGCTGGAGTAACAGTAGAGTGGTTAGGGAGCTTGCTTTGTAGGTGGCAGACGCAACTTCAATCCCCAGGACCCCCAGAAGTAACCCCTGAGCACAGAGCCAGAAGTAAACCCTGAGCACTTCCAGGTGTGGCAAAAAAAAATCTCCCCCAAAGGGAAGAAAGCACATATTTACATTTATTTTATATAAAGCATGTATACATACTATATTATTTATATGTATTACCTACACATATTTTATATCTTAGTGACATGATCAACTTTTTGAGTTTTCAAAATGCTTCCAAACAATATGTTTCATTGAAAGTCTTTTTCAAATTATCACAAATTACCTCTTGCATATTCCAATATGTTTATTGAAAAAAGTCTTCGTGTCAGTAAACCAGCACAGTTTTAAAACTTGACTAGTTCTGGGGTAATCTCTATTTCAAGTCTTTCTATCTCAGTTTGGGGTCTCCTTCCACTTCCCCCATTATCTCTCATCCTAAGACAGAATGAAAAGTCAACGTTTCACCTAGAGAGAGTCAAGTAATACCATAATACAGAAAACTTTGATCCAATTTGATATTTTCTTCCCAAAGCTATTGTAGTCATTCTCAACACTAGTGTAGGTATGGAGATCTGTGTAGATCACATGGAATTTTGTGTAGAATGCAGACCTGATTCAGGGAGATGAGATTCTAACCAGCTCTCTGGTGATCTCAGTGCTGCTCAACCATGCACAAACTCCTGCTTAGTGTTCCCAAGGATGAGGCATAGATTTTGTGTACCCATCTTTTTTTGTCCCACCCAAGACTGGCCCTCTACACATAATAGGTTATAAGTGGAAAAATGTGTATTGCCTGCATTCGGTTTCATCCCTCTCACTCATAGGCTAATCCCCATGGTACAGATTCAAGAGAACCTAAGAGAAAAATTTAATCCATTTCCCCCTTATTTTCCCTGGGCTAGATTAAGACCTAGCATCTGTTGCTCCATTTTGTTAAGAATCTTTAAAAAAAATTCAATTCCCGAAGTAAAAATGTTTCTGTTTTCTTTTCAGTGGGAAGCTAGTTTCACCTTTGTGATTTTGAACATTCTTGGATGTCCACTTCATTTTGCAATAGCCTTAGAATCTGCACTCCTTGGACCATATTGCTTCTACTCATTTGCAGGGATTACAGGAACTAATTACCTTGGTTATGCGGTTGCCTTTCCTTTCCCATACACAAAATTTCCATCACTTTGTTTGGACCCACCACACAATGAAGAATATCACCTGACACTCCAGGTCTTCGATCTATTTCTGAGTTTTGTCATGTTCTGTGCATCCCTCATGGTGTTTATCAAGCTTTCTGCAGGACTGATCTGGAATGGATACGTAAACGTAAGTTACATGCAATGAGTCCTTCTTCTTGTTCCAGTCTGAATGTTAAATTGGAAAGCCTAGAGAGATAGAGATGTGGGTGATATACTCTCATCAAACACGGCCAACCTCAGTTTTATACCAGCACCACATATGGTCCTCCAAGCACAGCCAGGAGTGATTCCTGAGCACCATGGAGTATGACCCAATCAATGCCACCCCCCAAAAAAAGTGAAAATCCTGGTCAATCTGTATCTTATTTATGACTGTATCTTATTAAACAATGCTGAACAACCTGGTCCATAATAATTGCTCAATTGTTTTTGATGAATGAATGGAAATACAGTGAAATAACAACTGATGGTGTGGCAGAAGATATCACTCATCAATTTTAATATTAAGCCACAATCAATAATATTACCCCAAATACTAATTACCATGTGCTTTTTTTCTGGCTATTGGAAACAGAATGCTTATTTTTTCTCATGTTTATCAAATACAAATATGTCAATTTAGCTTCTATCCCATGAATCTAGAAAAGTATACATGCTCTTTGGCTAGAAAATATATACAATAAACTATTATTCTCTGTCTACTCCAATGTTGGGCTGGAGCGATAGCACAGGGGGTAGGGCGTTTGCCTTGCAAGCGGCCAACATGGCCAACCCAACCAAGAGCCTGGCAAGCTACCGAGAGTATCTCATATGCAGGGCAAAGCCTGGCAAGCTCCCTGTGACGTATTGGATATGCCAAAAGACAGTAACAATAAGTCTCACAATGAAGACATTACTGGGCCCGCTCAAGCAAATCAATGAACAACGAGAGGACAGTGACAGTGACAGTGACTCCAATGTCATCTGAATCTGATGAAAATCAACATTAAATTTAGCTTTTTTCCAGAATAACTACTAACAATAGGAGTAGTCATTTGATAATAAAAATAGGACCATATATTTGTCATGTGTCAGTTTAATTTTGCAGACAGAAAACTGAGGCAAAAGAATTTAACATTCATTGCTCAAAGTAGCACAAGTAATCAGTAGTGGGGCCAGATTTAGAACACCTTCAAGTCTCACAATGGAGATGTTACTGGTGCCCACTCAAGCAAAACGATGATGAACAACGGGAGGACAGTGCGACAGTGCTACAGTTCTTTTTCTTAATGAGGCAAGAATCATCCTGGGCCTCCTTGTCACCCACCTGTGTCTTTCTCCTTGGCTAAAATGTTGAGATGCATGATTCTGCTTTCAGGAAAACTCATGCAGGGTTACTGGAAAACAAGCATGCGTGATTTCTAATGGCGAATTCTTATTGTTGATACTGGGTCTCTGCTCTCAAAATATCTCAAACCAAGGTATTCCTCGCTGCAAACTCTTGTACTGACTTCACAATTTGGTCAGCATTTTATTATAAGTGAATATGGGATAAATGTTAACCATTAATTTTTCCAGTTTGATATTACCAAGAGCAATCAGCAAATTTGGAAGACAAGAATTTGTCATTCTCAGTGCCTTTTGAGGTCAGTCTTGTCCTCTTCAACTTCTCAATAAATCTTCAAGGAAATCCTCTTCACTCTTAGGAACAGAGTTTATTTTATAAGGAGGCTCACTGACAGCTGAAGTGAGTAAGTGAGCAGCACCAAGATTTCCGCCCCCCTCGCCCCCCACATACTGCATAACCAGGATATCTAGTATTTGATATTTCTCCTTTACTGAAGACTTCAATTTCCTGGAGTTCTTTGCTTGAAGAAATATACGCCTATGAGAACCATCAAATTATCGGTAACTATAACTTGTCAGCATCAACATTTAATCTAGACATTCGACTAACATCGTAGGCTTGAAATTAGAAATGTTTCGGTTTAACATAGGATGGGAGACAAGGAGGGAAAAAAAAGATATGCAGAAGTTGTAAGCCAGTCCTATAAAGACCTGCTTAATGTGTCTAGAAAGAGAGAAAACTAGTTAAACACAGACTAACTTCCTCCAACTTCAGACTAGTGTCTGGCCCATCTTGCTCAGAACAGTTTTCTGGGTGTGTGATTCCTAAGGTAGGTATTGGACCCACCTACAACACGCATCTTAAAGCAGACCAAATCATAGAGTTTTACTAAACAAGATTTCTGGATCCCATCCAATACTTTTCCCATTACTTTAGAAACTTGGAGGCTGGCTAAAGGGAATGTGTACCTGTAACACTCTCCCCACAAAGTTTCTGATGATTCTTTCTAGAACAAGATTTCTTAGTGCCAACTAAACAGCATGTGTTTTCTCATTTACATAAAGTGCAGCCCTACCTTATATGAGCATTCTAGCTAACTTAATAAACATTAGGTCTGTGGTAACAGTTTTTGGATGACTTGACACCACTTAACTCGTTGTGGTAGATCATGTGTCATTAGAGAAGAGGAATGGCTGACATAATGGAGTGTGATGTTCTATATTCATAACTCTACTTCTGCCCCAAACCTGCCAAGAGTTTATGTAGCCTGAAAGTATGTTTGATGTCATGTGAAAAATAATTTATGGAGGGTACTTTTTTTCTATCAGTGATACAAATGTACTATTTATCAAAATATTAGAAAATACAAAACAGATTTCTTAGAAGAAAAGAAAGAATGTGAAAATCTGTGTTTAGACCTCCTTACTGTTATGTTTTAAAGTCCCTTTATGGCCTGACATATAGTACAAAGCTCAAGTTGCTTGTCTTGCATGAAGCTGACCTGTATTCTGTCCCTGACACCTCACAAAGTCCTCTGAGTACCTCCGGGGGTGATCCCTAAACCTGTCAGAGCCAGGAGTAAGTTCTGAGCAGTCATAGTGACCAAACTCCTCCACCCCCACCCCCAAACAAAACAAACACTAATCTATATAAAATAATCAATAGCTTAGGCTGTCCCTGACTGTCTCAGGCAATCCCTGATTGTCTCAGGCTGTCCCCAGTGAGATTGAGTATTCGCAGTCCAGCCTGTTCACCATCCTCCTGCAGACAGTGCCAGGGAGACGGGAGAAAATGGGGAGCCTGACACCTTAGTGGCCAGGGGAGACCCCACTAGGATGTTCACGCACTCAGGATCTTCTTACTACCATCCACATTCACAACCTTCAGCGGTCACGGCGTTTCCAAGGAGGGTTTCAACTGGAAAGAAGCGGACAGGTGACATCAGCCCTAATGAAGCCAGTGTGGAGGGGAGTTGACAAAGTCCCCCCATTCCACTGCTCCTGATACTGCTCCCCCAAATCACCGAGCTTTCTGTAGAGGCTCTGGTCATGTGTGAGCCTCAGAGCCTGAAGATGTGGACAGCGCTAGGGAGCCGGGGAAAAGGCAGGGTGCCTCACATGTGGGGCTGGGAAGGGAGAGGAGGAGAGCTGAGAGTGAGGTTTCAGAGAGAAGCTTTCTGGGGGGGAGTCAGAGGAAGAGACTGACACAGAAAGACAGCTTTGGTGCCTGGAGCGATAGCACAGCAGGTAGGGAGTTTGCCTTGCACGTGGCCGACCTGGGTTCAATTCCCAGCATCCCATATGGTCCCCTGAGCACTGCCAGGAGTAATTCCTGAGTGCATGAGCCAGGAGTAACCCCTGTGCATTGCCAGGTGTGACCCAAAAGGCAAAAATAAATAAATAAGTAAATAAAAAGGGTTTGTGCCTTTTTAATGGTCCTTTGCATTAAAAAAAAAAAGAAGAAGACAGTCCTAGGGGAGCAGGGGCACATCCCGTCTGCGAGTGGTACCCGGGGCTTTCAGGTCCCCCCTTCTCCCGCGCCAGCCCTGAGGCTCTGGGGTGCTTACAGAATCCTACAGCTGTCTCCTGGGACTGGGGTGCTGCCTGGCTCTCGGCTACCCTCTCAGATCCTCTCCCGGCCCGCAGAAGCCAGCTCGCCTCTTGGACACAGCAGACAAGTCCTCCTTCCGCTACCGTGATGGGCTGGCACAGCCTGCTGAGCTGGTGCTGATGCCCCCCCGTGCCTCTTGGGCCTCGTCGAGGGCTGGTCTGCAGGGTGGGGTGGGGGGGGTTAGGGAGTGGGGGCTGGAGACCCAGTCAGATGGTGGCCAGAAGGTTTCTCCTAGAGGCTGTGTGGCTTTAGAGCTGTCACTGCATTCCTCTCCCAACCTCCAGCCCCTCCGTAGTCAGGCAGAAGGGGGATGTATTAGCCACCCCATCCCCCGACTCTGTAAAATTATTTTCTTAGATAGCACAATGGGTAGGGCGTTTGCCTTTCACGCGGCCGACCCGGGTTTGATTCCTCCGTTCCTCTCAGAGAGCCCGGCAAACTACTGAGAGTATCCCATCTGCATGGCAGAGCCTGGCAAGCTCCCTGTGGTATATTCGATATGACAAAACCAGTAACAACAAGTCTCACAATGGAGACGTTACTGGTGCCGACTTGAGCAAATCGATGAACAACAGGAGGACAGTGCTACTTGCTACAGTGCTACTGACAAATGCAATAGTAACATTTAAAATACTTTTTTAAAAACACTAATTAAAATTGGGGCTACAAATACAGTACAGTGGGCAAGGCACTTCCATGCAGCTGGCCTAGGTTTGATTCCTGACCCCAAATGGTTCCCCAAGCTCACCAGGAGTGATCCCTGAGCACGCAATCAGGAGTAAGCGCTGAGCATAGCCATATGTGCTCCCCCCAAGAAAAATAAAATAAAGTATGCATCAATAGCTATTTCTTTTAAAGAAAATACAAAAAAGCCCCTTTTTTTTGGTCACACCCGGAGATGCACAGGGTCCACTCCTGGCTCTGCACTCAGGAATTACCTATGGCAGTGCTCAGGGGACCATATGGGATGCTGGGAATCGATCCTGGGTCAGCCACATGAAAGGCAAACATCCTACCTGCTGTACTATCGCTCCAGTGCCCCCCAAACCCCCTTAAAACTACATATTTAATTGTCCTAAAAATGAAATTCTCTTATGTAAATCTTGTACAAATTAGGAAAGTCAAGAACTATAAAACTTCGGAAGAAAAAAAAGTTAGAAGTTTATAGTAAGATCCTAGAGAAAATATTTATATCACATTGGTAAGGTAAGGTAAAGGCCCTCCCGTTGATCATCGATTTGCTCGAGCGGGCCCAGTAACGTCTCCATTGGAGACTTTGTTGTTACTGTGTCTGGCATATCGAATACTCTCGGTAGCTTGCCGGGGTCTCCGAGAGGGGCGGAGGAATCGAACTCGGGTCGGCCATGTTGGCTGCGTGCAAGGCAAACGCCCTACCCGCTGTGCTATGATTTTTCCAGATTCATATATAATTATCATTGTGAAAAATATGTACATATAAGAATTTTTCCTATAATTTCAAAACTTTTTCAAAAATGAATCAAGCATCCTCTAAGGTATTACCTCATTTATAATTTCTCTCCTCCTATGCCTTTTGGTTTAGTGAAACTGAAGACATCCTGAGTGTTACTGTAACACATAGCAGAAATCGGTATCTTTCACAGTTCTGGAGGTTGGGAGATCAAAGCCAGGATACCAGTGAGGAATGGTCTCTCCTCCTGGTTTTCAGATGATGCTTCCTCATTTGACATTCACAGACCTTTCTATGCTTGCCCCCCTTATAAAAGCACTATTCGCCTCCTAAAACCCCACCCTCAGAACTTCACTTCAACCGAATTACTTCTCAATTGGCTAGCCCCAGATGCCTGCAGAGAGGGGTCTAAGACTTTAGCAACATGAATCAAACTCAAAGACTCATTTTTTTCACTGTGAGGCATCAAACTCAGGCCCTCACATAGAAGCAGATGTTCTGACACAAAGATACATCCCTGGCATAAGTATTTTGGTTTTACATTTGTTTGAGGGCCACGACTGGCCATGTTTAGGGGCTACTCTGACTTGTGGTTCTGGGAATCAAACCTGGGGTTCAGCATGACAAGCATGTGCTACATCTCTTTGAACTATCTCCCCAGGCCCTTGGGATTTTTTGTAGTGCCAGAGATTGAACCTAGGAATCATGCATGTATGATCTGCATTTCCCTGCCAGGGCACATTATAATTTCTTGTTGAAGTGACACAGGAGAAGGTATTTAAACAGGCAGTGGATAATGAGAGAAATGCTTGAGAGATTTGAGGAGATTGATAATTATAATAAAGCTCTACAGATCCTATTTTAAACTGTGAGTCATGATCCCCATTTAACATCTTAAAATGTGCCTTAAAATTAAGTTCTTAATGATTCATTATCATTAATGTTTGATTGGTATACTGCATCATATACTCATATACCCGTGGTCATGTTACAAAGTTTTTTGGTGAGGACTGAAAGAGAAGGGGTTAAGGTGCTTGTCTTGCACTCAGCTGACCTAGTTCAATCCCACCACTTCATATGGTCCCCTGAGCACCGCTATGGAGGATCCCTGAGCACAGAGGCAGGAGTAAACCCTGAGCTCTGCTAGGTGTGGCCCTAAACCAAAATAAATAAGCAAATAGACATTCCTATTTGTCCCCAACACCTCAGCCGGTTTTCTCACTCTCCCAGATCAGTGAATAATTCACCCCGGGAGGCCACCTCTCCTGCGCCCACGCCCTCGTCGTCCTCTCAGACCCTGGACCTCCCACCCTCCATGAGCACCTTCCTGTTCCTTCCCAACACCCAGCTGGTTTTCTCCCTCTCCCAGTCTCCATAACACCACAATAACATGAAGAAATAGCGCAAATCCCCACCACGAGGAAAGGATGATAAAAAGAGTCCAGAAGCCTCAACAGGCATTACTCACAAATGTGAGCTCTCTAATAAAGAATTCAGAAATGAAGTATTGAAGATGTTCAACAAACTCAAAGAAACAGTGGGACAGATATCCAGTAAATTAAAGAAGGACATGGAAG